GGGGGGTGGGGGGGCGTGCAATGGTGCGGGCTCAAATCTCGGTGCGGAAGCGCAGGTCGGTGCCCGACATCTTCTGCGCGTAGTCCTGGTCGAAGCGCTCGTTCTGGGCCACGGTGAAGTGGTTCTTCCAGTCCCCGGTGGTGCCTGGGGCCGGGCGAGACGGGGCTCAGCGGGGACCAGGGTCTGGGGGGGCAATGCACGGGGAGCCCCCCGGAGCCGCTCACCTTTGCGCATGAAGGGGGAGACGCCCTGGTCCATGAGGTGGGAGGGCACCATGCTGTAGTTGGTGGTGGGGTTGTCCCGCATGGCCTCGAAGGACGTGTGTCGTGTGATGGCGTCCAGCACCGCCTCCGGCAGCTCCCGCCCCAGGAACTGGGCCACCTTGGCAATCTCCCGGCGGAGGTCCTGCGGGACACAGGCCCATGCTCACCTCTCCTGTGCCACCCCCAGACCCCACACCACCATCCAGCCCAGGCCTTCACCTCCTTCAGGTCCTCGTAGAAGAGGTAGAGGATGGGGTGATCCTTCCTCCGCTCCCAGTAATCCTTGACGTGGTCATACCAGGAGCCGTATGCCACTGCACAGCGAGAGCGGCCAGGAGGGTGTCAGTGGGTGACAGCACCCCACAGGGTCCCCACACACCCCCATGGGTGCCCTCTCCCACCTCTGCCGGCCATGAACTCCTCCAGGTACCGGGTCCATGTCCCGGGGTGCGGCTCGAACTTGTTCATCAGGTCAAAGTGGTAGAAGTAGACGGCCACGTCCTTGGCGTTGCGTCCCACGTAGATCATCTGTGGAGACCTTGGTGACACGTGGGGACTTGCAAGGTCCTGGCTGGGCAGGTCCCCTCCTTATCTCTGCTGGGTCCCTCCAGGTGTGTCCCCTCCAGCCTGTTACCTTGCAGCGGTTGTCCCAGAAGGTTTTCGGCAAGATGCAAGCTGGGATGTGGGTCTTGATGATGCGAGGGGATGCCTTGGCCTCCAGCTGCTCTGTGCCTGCAAAGATTTCCCCCAGGAGCACCCCCATTGCCAGCGGGGACCCCCGTCTGCCAAAA